TGTGTGTGTGTGTGTGTGTGTGTGTGTGTATTTTCCATCTCTTTTATTTATACGTTTACGATGCACGAGAGTTAGGAGAGGCCACGTGTCGCAAATGTTAAGCACGCGGTATAAATATTAAGAGGCGGACAATCGCTATTCGCAGATGATATTTCGCACGCACCTGCGACCGCGCGAGAGTTTCTTCAAATCGAAACGCTCCTTTCTCGGCCCGCCTGTTTCCTATTTTTACGAGAGATCGCAGGTTGAGCTTGTTGCACGGTCGTGCAGCAAGTTGAAAACACCAGAGGACCTAGGTATAAATAGATTTCGCGAGTACACACCGGAGAAAGAGAGAGAGAGAGACACGGAGGAAAATCGCGAACAGGACTACATGGACTAGGAAGGGGAAGAAAGAAGAGAAGGGGGGCCCGCAGCGGCGGCTCTGGTAAAAAAAAAGAAGCGATGATGATGCGTACGTTCTTGAAAAATTTAGCGGTGGCCGCGTGCACCAGCTACGCGTATGCGCCTCGTACGCGTGCGCGCGCATGCGGCGTTGTAGTGATAGAACTTTCCGTCCAGCGGCCTTCCTACAGAAGCGGATTCTCTCAAGGATGGTCTCGGACAAAGTTGCGACTCGCGCCCACCTAATCTCCTTTGTTAGTCGATGTTTCGTTGACCGCGAGAAACTATATTGTTCCCATGACTATACCTCGTCACTCGTCCGATTCACGCGCGATAACGCGCTCGCGCTCGCGCTCGGTAATTTTAGCTCGCATGAACAATTCAACGCGCGATTTATGATAGAACACATGACAGCGTGCGCGTAACGATATCTTTCTTTTTCTCTCGTTCTCTCAATACACATGTTCGATTATGAGAACCGTGTGAATTTGATAAAAAAAATCCGATTAGAAAAAAAGATCGTAAGAAACTCCTACGAAGCCTGTCATTGTGTTTGGAATTTTTATTTCTGTACTACTATTGTTTTTTTACTTATATAAGATTTTCTTAAATACGTGTTCGAATAATTACATGCTCGTACATATTGGTAAATTAATTCTTTAAAGTCGATTGTTTCCGCAAAATAAACTTAGTCGTTATTTTCAGGCTTATCTAGCTTTTTTAATTTTCATGTATTTTGTTCGAAGCGCATTACTTATTCGCTATCTATTATTTCGGCTGTCGAACGATGCCGGCAGAAACGTGATCGGAATTACATTGATATTATCGCTTTTCCTACGATACGGCTAAACTCGTATCGCCTTTACGAATTGTACTCCATTCTTGGAATATCGGCGCTTTATTCGAGTAATTAAAACAGAAAATCTTTCGATCCACTTATTATTAAAACGACCGCTAACCCTTATTAATTTATAACGCAGTTTGTCTGATTGCATATTTGCACGGCAACATTAATACGCCGAGGTAATTATAGCGGCGATGGCCAGTTAATTTTCTTCGAAGCACCTGCACGAGAGAAAAGGGATGTATCCGGTAACGGTGTGTTCTCCTTGAACCATAACGGACGCTGAATCTCACCCGTTATTCTCGTTCTTCTTAGCTCCTTCAGTCCTTCGGTTCACCGCTTCGAGAATTGTCGGACACTGTAAAGTAGCTGGGCTCGATTTTTTTCATACTTTCTTTCTAACGCTTATTCTATGCAAATTTGTGATCCCTTCAAGAGATTCGTAGATACGAGTGTAGTTTTACAAAATTCCGTAAAATATTGAAATCGTGAAATAATATAGAAAATAATGTAATACTAGGAACACTTCTGAAAAAGGAAGGGATGAACTTTTAAAAGAGAATATTTCGAAATATGTTCTTTCCGTCTGTCTGTAGAATGTACATGAATAATTTTTATTCCTTGAATTATTACAAAGAAAGAGACAGGGGGAAAGAATTCTTGATAAAAAAATTAAGAATCGCGATAAAAGATTGGACTGATCAAATTGTTCTTGAAGAAAGAATATCTCAAAATTAAGTTCGCGTAAAAAGAGACTATTAAATTCAATTACTCTCAATGTATATATTAAAATACATTCTAAAAAAAAAAAATACATTCTATCGCTATCGAAGCACTTTTTATTGTAATTCGCTGGATCGTCAAAAATGTCGTTAGTGACAAAAAATCTTACCATGCATATATATGTATATATATATATATATATATATATATATAGACGTTAAAGTGACGATGAAACAGTCAAATTAATGCAAGAATAGGGAGTTGCGCAACGTATCACGATTTAGTTTCGTAACATTAAAGATAAACCGACGCGGATTAGTTATCGCGCGGGCTAGTGCGATTCTACGAATAGAAGTGTAGTTTGTACGTGCAGGTATGCGTACACATAATATGAATCGGTCGATTAGATTGTACGCCTAGTAACTAGATTACGTTCGCGCGGCGGCTTGCGCGTTATCTGCGAAATTAGACTCCGACAAGCGGACGCGTTATTTAGGCGCAGCGGACGCTCGCTCGGAACGGCCGCGTCTCTGTTGGGAAATCGCCGTTCGCGTTACAGACTGACACGTCGGTAACGACGCCTCGACGTCGTCGCGTATATTTTTGACACTGATAATTTAGCCTCGATGTTAGGCAGGTATCAGGCGATCTCGTAGAGAGTGTAGGAAAAAGATTTATCGATTGCAGTTGATAATAATAAGAAGATAACAATATCGTACTTTCATATGTTTTACGCTTGCATTTTATTTTGTCATTATAGCGCTGATTTATCGACGATTTTGTATTATCTATAAAAATCGGTCGCGTTGATTTTCATTGGTTTATTTTTTCGCGGGAACCCGCTTTAGTATTACATACGTGAGATATGCCGATAGCCCAAGCCGCGGATACACTTGAGGAGATTATCGCGCGATATACAATACATCACGTATTCTATTAAATTTAAACATTCCGGAATGCGCCTGCGTCTTTGCGCTCGACGATCGATAGTGATCGATGAGAGAGAGAGAGAGAAAGAGGG